GTTGAAGGGGTTAAAAAAAATAACGGTGCATGCACAAGCATTTTAACCTTATTTTTTGAATCTTTATTTAAGTTAGGATTAAATAATATTTATTTTATTCTAACGGATAAAGATTTTTCAGAAATTTCTGCTGCACAAAAAGTCTGGCCAAATGCCAAAATTCAAATTTGCTTTTGGTACATTAAGAAGGCACTTAAAAAATGTCTTACAGATAATACATATCCAAAAGTAATTCATTATAGCTCATATTCTGCTCATGAGGTATTTGAGTTTATTGATATTAATTTCCATCCAACACCACCATCACAAATAACTCCAATGCAAAAAAAAAGTTTTTGCTTTTGTCCCAAAGAATTACGAGATACAATTATAAAGATGATGGAACAACATATGCATTTACATCCTTTAATTCCAAATACTAGCGGATGTTATTTAACAGCACATGAAATCTGGGAACAATCAACTAAGCAAATTTATGAATTTTGCGTTTATCATAATTTAAAACTATTGTGGATTTATTTGTGGGAACATTGGTATCATAAAGAACTCTGGGTATTGTGGACACGATCTGCATATTATAAGATTTGCATATTTCATACTACAATGTTATGCGAATCGCACTGGAAAGTTATTAAATAGGATTTTCTGCCTAAATTTTTTAGGCCACGTCTTGATTTATTAACTTATATAATAATTACCCGTTTAATTCTGCACCAAAACCAGCAATATAACAAATATTATAATAAGCGTGAAAAACCATCCTGGAGAAAAGATTTTAAAAAAGAGTGGATGTCACTAAAGGAAAAACCGATTAATAATCATTATACTATTGATGTTGAAAAATAGATCTGCGGATGTTTGGGATTTTTGACCAATCGGTTTTTTCTCTGCAAACATCTTGTTCAAGCATCCCAATTTATTATTAATAAGTCTTTTTTTAAAGATGTTCAACGGCAAGAAATTTATCCTTTTATATTTTTGCCATCACAATTTCAGGTTCAATCTTCAACTACACAAATCATGCATTCAAGTACAGGTAAGAAAACAAGTTAAAATTTGTAATTTATTTTATTTTGCAGAATCGATTTTCTAATACGTAATGATAATATAATTAAATTCTGTAAAAAATATCTTTATTTATATAGTTGATACCCTCAATGATATTACAAATTTAATTTCTATTGATGATAAAAATAACAAATCACTTCAACTA